TTCAGTGGCGTTGAGCAAGCAACTTTCCCTCCGGGTCCTCGCTGTCAATAGTTAACGATGACAGGTGTGGCTCTGAGCGGTTTATACGTGGGGCGGGCAGCCACGGGTTATTGCCCACAATAAAGAACTCTGTGCCAAGCGTGCGGGAGGACAGCACGCAGGGCCGGCCACGTGAGCGCCTCCAGATTGTACCTAAGTGCCCCGTGCCCCTGGCCCGTCTTCTGGTTAATAAATCTCTTGTAGTCCTCACACCCGGCAGGTCGTTTTCCGTACCAACAACTGTCAGTCTCCTTTTGCCCATCCCTGTATATGAACGCCTTTATTCTTTTTCTTTTTAATCCTCACCTGAGGATATTTCCTCCATTGATTTCTAGAGAGAGTGGAATGAAGGGGGTGGGGGGAGAGAGAGAGAGAGAAACATTGGCGTGGGGAACCTGAAACCGATGTATGTGCCCTTGACAGGGAACCTAACCCAAGACCCTAAGGTCCACAGGCTGGCGCTCTAACCACTGAGCTAACCGGCCAGGGATGAACTCATTTATTCTTCACATCAATCCTGTGAGGAAGGTAGTGTCATTGTCCCCATTTTTTAAAAAAAAATATTTTTGTATTGATTTTAGAGAGGAAGAGAGAGGGAGAGAGAGAGAGAAACATCAATGATGAGAGAGAATCATTGATCAGCTGCCTCCTGCACGCCTCCCACTGGGTGTACCTCTGACTGGAATCAAACCTGGGGCCCTTCAGTCCACAGGCCAGTGCTCTATCCACTGAGCCAAACTGACTAGGGCTCGTCCCCATTTTGGAGGTGAAGGAACCGGGACACAGAGAAGCTCAGCCACTGGCCCAAGGCCGCACAGCCAGTGGCAGGAGAGCGGGGATTCGACCCCATGCTCTTGGGCTGCAGCCACGGTGCTCTGAAACCCAGTGACAAGACGAGGCACCGCCAGCCTCCCCCGCACATGGACCTCACTGTCCCTTTCTAAAACGTGGGGTCCCACAGTGTGGTAACATGACGTCCGGTGTTGACAACACTCACTTTGCCAGGGATATTTGCATTCTACCTGGGGATTCCTGACGAGGAAAATCTTACACAGAGCGTGTCTCCCATGGTGGGAAGGGAGTGGACACAGATGCCTAAGGGAGCTGACCTGGGCAGGTTCCTTCCCGGCCTCCTCGCTCACACCTGCCAGAGGGCCAGCCCGGCAGATGGGTGTTTTACTAGAGTCTCACTGTTCCCAGCATGAGGCAAAACAGGAAGCCAGCGGAGCGTGGGCACACGGGAGGTGGTTCCTAGTTTCTCCCAAATCCCAAAGTGAAAGAAAAGAACGAGAAGAGAAAAAAGAAATCTAAGCCCTGGCTTTCTTTTACATGCCTTTCTTAAACATTACCTTTAGTAAGAATATAACATACAACTCATCGTTTAAAGCAGTGGTTCTCAATCTTCTGGCCCTTTCAATACAGTTCCTCATGTTGTGACCCAACCATAAAATTATTTTCATTGCTACTTCATAACTGTCATGTTGCTACTGTTATGAATCGTCATGTAAATATCTGATATGCAGGATGGTCTTAGGCGACCCCTGTGAAAGGGTCATTCGACCGCCAAAGGGGTCGCGACCCACAGGTTGAGAACCGCTGGTTTAAAGTATACAATCAGTGTAGACTCACGGAACTGTACAACCACCACCACAAGCAGCTTTAGAACGTTTTTCATCAACCCTGAAAAACCTACACTCATTTTTAGCCAGTCCATATTCCCCACCCTTCCTTCCTCCACTCCCCAACCCTAGGCAACCACTGATTTATCTTCTGTGTCTATGGCCTTGCCTGTCCCGGACAGTTCACAGAGTTAGAACCAGGCAGTGGGTCGCTTCTGTCACTGGCCTCTTTCATTTATCATGCACTTAAGGTTCATCCATATTGTAGCGTGTATTAGTGCGTCATCCCCTTTTATGGCCAAAACATATTCCATCGTATGGATAGAGCACATTTGGTTTATCCGTTCATCAGCGGGTGGACATCTGGGTTGTTTCCACTTTGGGCGGTTATGAATAATGCTGCTGTGAACATTCATGTTCAAATTTCTATGAGTATGTTTTCATTTCTCTGGGGTCTGTGCCTAGGAGTGGAATTGCTGAGCCATTTGCTGACCTTACGTTTAATTTAGTGAGGAACTGGCCGACTTTTCCAAAGTGGCTGCGCCGGTTTACATTCCTACCAGAAATGGTAGAGGTTTCTCCGCATCTCTGTCAACACTTATTATTCTCTGTCTTATTGATTTTGGCCATCCCAGTGAGTGAGAAGGGCCCACATGTCCTGCATCTCAGGTGGGGTGCATGTGGGTATGTGTGTGGGTGTGCCTCCTGCCTCTGGAAAATACAGGGTAAGGTGGCAACAGCCCTGGAACCCGCCTTGCCTCCTGGGCACCATCACCTGCCCCCCCTTTGGTCATGCTCACCCCAGAAGATGGTGAGGACCGAGGACGGGAAACTGGAGCCCACTGCTCCTTCACAGGCTGCTTGTCTGCGGCTCTGACCTCCCTCACCAGAGCTTCTGAGGAATTACCGCTGCTCATTCATTTGGCGGCTGGAGGAGGAGAAGGCGGAGTTTCACTCGCAGCTTTGTGCCTGACCAGGGCTCCTGGCTGGTCCGCTCCTGCTCTGCGGGGGCTGACTCCTCTGTCCTCAGGGCATCACGACGACGAGGCAGGGGTGGCCTGTTCTCTCTCTGTCCTGCTCCTCACTTCTCACGGGAGGTCTTCTTTAGATCAGACGGGACACTGCCCACAGGACCACAGGAGCACCCAGCTTGCCCCCCAAGGGGCCTGTGCCCCACACGGCAGGGGGTGCGTGAATGAAGGTCTTGAATGGAGGGTTCCAACAGCCGTGTCCGGGCCCAGCCCCGTCAGCAGATTCTCTGCGGCTGGATGCTTTTCTAATTCATCCTTGCAGTAACTCTGGGAGTGTTACCATCCTCATTTTAAAGATGAGGAAACTGCCCTGGCTGGTGTGGCTCACTGGTTGGAGCATCATCCTGGGTGGCAGGTTCGGTTCCTGGTTGGGGCACATGCCCCGGTAGCAGGTTCAATCCCCAGCTGGTGCTCATGTGGGAGGTGGCCTGACTGATCTTTCTCACATTGACGTTTCTCTCTCTCTCTCAAATCAATACATTTTTTTAAAAAAAATAAAGATTAAACTGAAGATGGTGGAAATTAAGCTGGAAGGTGGCAGTGGGCAAGTTCAAAGTGAGATCTGTAGAGTCTAGGAGCAAAGTTCTTGCCGCTTTCATTTTTCTCCCGCTCGGCACGAAGGGCTGCCTTAGGTGAAGGCTCGGTTTCCTCGAGTGTCAGGGGTTATGTGTGTGTCAGGGTCCCCAGGAGTCTGTATGTAAACAGCTTCTCGCTGTGCCCTCTGCCTGTTACAGCGAAAGTGCAGGGGCTCAGGGACTTACTCAGTGGCCCTAGATAATGTAAATCGCTTGCGTTTTTCCTCTCTTTGAGTTCTAGGGCGGTTGGCAAATGCAGCCACGCAGCAGGAATGCCCGGAAGCGACTCAGACACTAGATGGGGTGTTCCAATAGGTCCCTCGGTATCTCTCTGACCCAGTGGGGGGGGGGGGGGGGGGTGAGGGGGCATGTAGCAATGTCTGGAGACATTAGGGTTGTCACAGATGGGGGAGGGGTGCTCCTACAATGCATACAGGACAGCCCCCCATAACCGGGGATCGTCCAGCCCTGAGTGCTCCCGTGGCGGCGGAAGCCTGTCCTAACCCCAGGTGAGCAGAGGGCGGGTTTCAAAACCAGGGAGCCGATGAAAGATGCAGATCTTCCGGCTCCATTCCGTCTCCCTACAAGACGTGGAACTCCCCCCCCCCCCCCCCCCCCGCGGCCTCCTGACCTCACCGTGACCTCTCCTCCCGCAGAGGCTGACGCTGGTGCTTGCCTTGGCCACGCTGATCTCGGCCTTCGGGTCCTCCTTCCAGTACGGCTACAATGTGGCCGCTATCAACTCCCCTTCCGAGGTAGGTCTCTGCGGGGAGCGAGACCCGGCCCCCACGACCCAGGGAGGTGGGTTTGGGGCAGCCCGGGCCCTGGGGGTGGGGGTGGGGGGCGCAGGGTGGGACTGCACACAGGTGGAGGGCACACAATGGGTCCTGGAGGGAAGGGACACCACGCAGGCCCCAGGGGACTGGCGGACACAGGACAGGGGGATGAGCCAGGGCCCAGGCCTGGCTGGACCCCCGGGGGGCTGGCCTTGATCTCCCGCAGCCTTGCCATCTACGGAGGAGTCCGAAGCGGCAGAGATCACCTACTGGACTGGAAGACGAGAGTCAGTCCTCTCTGGTGTTAGAAACATCCGGGCAGTTTGCCTCCCAGAGGCCTCGAGGCCCTCCCCAGGGGCCCCTGCGCCTTGCTGTTAATACACCGTTGTCCTCCCCCGTCTCCTCCATCTACCAATGTCCCTCTCTGCGTGCCCAGGCTGTCCCCTCGTGGGCCCAACAGCTTACGTTGCTCTTTCTGCAAAACCGGGTCACATTATGGGGGCCTTCTGTTTTGCTTCGTTCTCCAGCTCATGAAAGCATTTTACAATGAGACCTACTTTGATCGGACCACTTACTACCTGAGCGACTTCTCCTTGACGCTTCTGTGGTCTCTGTCTGTGTCCATGTTCCCCTTTGGCGGCCTCGTCGGGTCCCTCATGGTCGGCTTCTTGGTGAATAAACTTGGGAGGTAAGGAGAGGTGCACGTTCAACTTCGCAAAACGCATACAGCCTATCGGAGCTTAACACATTTCGTACCGCATAGAAATCTCTAAGACATACGCCAGGGACCGCACGTTTTTGGGCAAACTGCACGTTATTTAAATCATCATGACTACAGATCATAATGCACTTTAGGTGTTGTTTTTCAATAATTATAACATTTTTATTTACAAAAACAATTAAACAATTAAAGTTCCTAGTGCTTTTTTAACGTATGGTACTGCGTAAAACATTTTCTAAAAGCGCCAGGAACTTGAAGACAAAGACTTTTCGAATGACCAAAATACAATGTAACTGCAATGCTTTATGGGTTCGTGCAATTATATAGTTTTTCGTAGATTGACCTGCACGGTTTCCACCAATGAGATCGCTTCATTTGATGTGGACAAGACAGTATGTTGACATCTAAGGTCCATAACAGATGGCGCGTGAAAAACGAGAAAACTTGTGAGCGGTCCTTAACAGATGGCTCGCGAAACACAAGAAAGCTTGTGAGCGGTACGAAAGGTGTTAAGACCTAGCCTCCCGAGGAAACCCTTACTGTAAGGTGAGGCGAAGCCACGGAGCGGATTTCTGTTTCGTGATGTGGTCTTAAGACCAGACATTGGCCAAGTGTTGGGGTCATAGGCCAGGTCTTGGGGCTAAAGAGGAAGTGGCAGGTCTCAGGCTCCGGGCGGACACAGAGCGAGCAGAGCACTCCAGGGCCAGGCCTCCTCCCACGGTCTCTGCTCCCTAACCTGGAAGGTTTTGTGTTTGCTTGTTTGTTTGTTTTTATGTGGATAGTTTTGTACTAAAACCAAAACTGAGCTCGCTCTCTCTCTCTCTCTCTCTTTTTGCCTTTGAAGAGTCAAACCCCAGATGCCATGGCCAAGAGGCCAGTCCCAACGTCAATCACAGCACGGGGTTCTTGAACTCTGCCCCCTTGTTCTTCCACCTTGAGAACAAGGAATATGAAAAATTTAGCCCAAACTAAATTCCTGTGAAACTCTGAAATGGCTGGGGTTACCAGGCACTTCCCGGTGACACCGTGTGGCCCCAGGGCCCCTTTCACTGGGAGTGTAGTGGCTGTCAAGGGTGGGGCTTGTATCTTTGCCCCTGATTCTGGAAGCATTGGAAGTTCTGTTATTTGATTCCAAAAAAGGTCCCTAAGTCATCCCACTGCCCCATGTAAATTGCGTGGGCCCGAGAGACCAGCCTTGTGCTAAACAGCACTTAAGAGCTCTTCCCCTCACCCCCCTCTTCACGGATGAGTGCAGGGAGGCTGAGCGGGATCAAGTGCCCGTTCTTGGCCACAGATCTAATAGCTCAGGAGTCAAGGCAAGGCCAGAACCCGGACTTCGGTTCTTTCTCCAATTCTTTTCAAAAAGAGTCTGCGAGCCCAGGCCGGTTTGGCTTAGTCGATAGAGCGTCGACCTGTGGACTGAAAGGTCCTGGGTTCGATTCCGGCCAAGGGCACATGCCTGGGTCGCGGGCTTGATCCCCAGTAGGAGCTGTGCAGAAGGCAGCCAATCAATGATTCTCTCTCATCATTGATGTTTCTATCTCT